ATCTTTATTGATTTCAGAGAGAGGAAAGGAGAGGGAGAGAGAGCTAGAAACATCAATGATGAGAGAGTCACTGATCAGCTGCCTAGCCTGCAACCTGGGCATGTGTCCTGACCGGGAATCGAACCCCGATCTCCTGGATCCTAGGTTGATGCTCAACCGCTGAGCCATGCCCAGCCGGGCTTGAATGCTATTAAGGAGGTAGAGTTGACTACGTTGTTGGAAGTTGGCTGAAGATGGGAAGCAGGAAGAAATGATGACTGCCCACATTTCTGGGCCACTGGGTATTTTTCACTGAGGTTGGGACCTTGGAAAATGAAAGGTTTGGAGCTGGAATATCACGAGTCCAATTCTGAACGTGGTTAGTGACATCCAAGGGGAGATGTTCAGAAGGCAAATGGAAGTAAGGGTCTGGAGCTCAGGAGGGGTCTGAGCTGCAGAAAGGTCACTCAACCACTCTGCCCGTCATCCATAAAATGGGAATAATGATAGTGCCAACCTCATCAGCTTGTTTTGAGGGTTAAATGAGTAAAGACCTAGAGCAATACTTAGCATACAGTAAATACTCTATAAATGTTATCCCTTATTATTTCTATTATAATAGATGGTAGTTAAAACCATGGGAGTGCATTAGGGACCAAAGAAAGAAAAGAAAGAGAAGAGGACCTGGGGTTGAACCCTGAGAGGAAAAGAAGGGGAGTGGTGGAGCAGCAGGAATGTACAAGGATCTGAGAAGTAGTTTCCAGAGAGATGGGAGGAAGCCAGGAGAGCTGGGTCTGGGGAGGAAGAGAAGAGTATTCAGGGAAGAGGGTGGATCAGGAGAATTTGAGCAGTTGAGAATTTGAGCAGTGAGGCTGAGAAGCAGCTCGGCAGGGCCCATGCTCATTCACTTGACAAATATAAATTGAGCAGGTATGAGCTACAATGCCAGTGCTGATGGAAACAGCAGAAAACAGCACTGATGCAAGGAGTGGGCCACTGACACTCAGGGGAAACTTTATTGCAAGAGGAAAGATTCCTTCAATCCAAAGAGGAACTATAGAACCCACAGCCTGTCAGCACTGGAAGAAAGTTCAGTGAGGTGATCACCTGTCTGATAGATGAAGAAACCCAGAACAAATGACTTGTCCAGGGAATCACGGTAAAAGAGGAGACAGAGCTGCAGCAGCAGGCTTGGTATTCTTTTGGCAGAACGAGTCTTAGAAATGGGATTGCACTTGGGAATTGTGGCTGTGCCATGCAACAATTTCCAAGTCACTCAGCAGGGATGAGGTTTGTTTTACAATTCTTTGCTCCTAGAGCCCTGGAAAACCGTGTCCAGTTCTTTATCTTCACTTCCAGACAAGACTGCCACCTCCTGGCCACAGGTGAGAAGTGCGCCTCAGTGTGTGTCCACACTCAGGTTTGCTTCCTTTCCCAGCAGGGTAAGAGTGTGTTTGGAAAGTTCCGCTGTTGCAAGGAGGCATTTTCCTGACCAATTACATTCTGTTTCTTATTTCTGTATATTTCACCACCTCTTTCACCACATCCTTTTCAACGCCCAATATTGAAACATTAAAATTATATTTTGTGCACTATTTTGTTTTAAAAAGCCAGGCAACAAAGTAATTAATGTTATGCACTCTGGTGGTATATGAATTGCTATGTGTGTCTTCCACTGGTATCTGCTCTTCTGGGCAAGTCTCACACCGAATCCCACCAGCCTACTTGCTGGCACCTTCTGAACTGCTCCTGACACCAGAGTCAAGCATTGCTCTACTAGGCATGCGCAAACACAGAGGTTTTGAGGGCCAGGCAAACTGGGAAATTAGCAACAAATTTTCCCCCAAGGGCTTTCTATTAAAAAAACCCCCAGAACTCTGGATGAGTGTATAATGAAACGTAAACTTATGAATGCTAAATAAAGTGTTGTAGTTGAGGCCCCAGCCTGGTAGCTCAGCTGATTCCAGTGTTGTCCCGATAAACCAAGGTTACGGGATGCCTGTCTCTGTCTCTCTGTCTCTCTTTCTCAAATCAATAAAGTGTTGCAGTTGAAGTGCTCATATAATTCTGGGGGGGCTGTTGCATTGGTGGCTCAGTGGTAGAATTCTCATATAATTTTAGGGAAATATCACCTCCTTAGAAAATATTCAGCAGATTTAAAAAAATATATATATCTTTATTGATTTCAGAGAGAGGAAGGGAGAGGGAGAGAGAGAGAGAGATAGAAACATTCCACTTTCTCTGTAGCCTTCTCAGGGAAGGATGTCACCTCCACATCCACCACATGCAAAGCATGGGAGGGAGAGTGCACTCTCCTCTTTCCAAACCATTCACTTTTCTCCTCAGTATAAACAAGCACAAAACTCCAGTACTTGGCATAGTACTTGGCACATCACAGATGTTCAATCAATATTTGTTCTCAAAAAACAAACCAACCATGCCCTGGCTGGTGTTGCTCAGTGGTTGGAGCATCCCATACACCAAAGGGTTGCAGATTTGATTCCTGGTCAAGGGCACGTACATAGGTTGAGGGTTTAATCCCGGGCCCGGGTTGGGGCGCATGCGGGAGGCAACCAATTAATGTGTCTCTCTCACATCAATGTTTCTCTCTCTCCCTCCCTCCCTCCCTCCCTTCCACTCTCTTTAAAATCAATGGAAAAAATATTCTCCAGTGAGGATTAACAACAAAACAAAACAAAAAAAATACAAACCAACCCTGACCTTCTGAGGTTAGCCCAGTCAGCTATAACACCCACTCTTCTTAGCCACAGGCTTTTCTGTCCTGACTGTTACCATCATCCTGGAGGTAAGGGCAAAGCTTCATCTTGGTCTTGCAATTTGACATTCTCAAGAAAAATTCATGTCTGATCCTCTCCACACACCAGTTAGGGCCACATTTCAGACCTGTCAGCTTCCCTTACCTGCCTTTGGAGGAGTGTGAGTAGAAGCTGAATACTCCATTCTCTCCCTCAACCTCCACTCCATCGACCATGTGAAACAGTTCCCCCTAGTGGACAATCTACTCCACGTACATTCTCTATATTCCACGTTACATGAAGACTTTTTTAAAAATCCTCACCTGAGGACATTTTTTTCTTTTTAGAGAGACTGGGAGGGGGTGGGGATGGGGGGGAGAGAAACCCTGATGTGAGAGAGACACATCACTTGGTTGTCTCCTGCATGAGCCCAACCCGGGCAGGAATTGAGCCTGCAACCAAGTATGTTCCCTAGACCAAAATTGAACCTGAGACCCTTCAGTCCATGGGCCAACACTCTAACCACTAAGCCAAATCGGCTAGGGTGCCCGGCTGGCATGGCTCAGTGGTTGAGCATTGACCTATAATCCAGGAGACCTTGGTTTGATTCCTGTAAGGGCACGTGTCCAGAGTCACAGGCTCAATGCTTGGTGGGGGGGAGTGCAGGAGACAGCAGATCAATGACTGTCTCATCATTGATGTTTCTTTTTTCTTTTTTTAAAAAATGTATCTTTATTGATTTCAGAGAGAGGAAAGGCGAGGGAGAGAGAGATAGAAACATCAATGAGGAGAGAGTCATTGATCAAGCCCGCAACCGGGCATGTGCCCTGACCGGGAATCGAACCCCGATTGCCTGGATCCCAGGTCAATGCTTAACCGCTGAGCCACGCCCAGCCGGGCTCATTGATGTTTCTATCTCTCTCTCTCCCTCTCCCTTCCTCTCTCTGAAATCAATAAAGATATATTTAAAAAAATTAAGTGGCTGGCACATAGGGGTACTCAAGAAATGAAAACTTACTAATACTACCATTATCAGATTTAGTTTCTTAGAAGAAGGACAGTCCTCAGGGTGATTTCTGTTTAGAGGGAAAGGACCACCTAAGACTGGGAACCAGAGCTAGCTCCAGACCCAGGCAGATTCTAAACAACTATTAAAGCATCATGTGGTTGGTTTGAAGTACAGGATGTTGACCATCATTTTCTGAATAACTTGCCCATCAATATGGAATCAGCATCTTCCACCTGCCAAGGCTACCCAGGGCACTCCACAATGCTCTTTGTGAATAGGAGAGAACTTTTAAGAGTGGATGTGCCGAGCGCTCACTGCGATGTGGAGCAGACCTGCCCCCTCCCCTACCTTCATACTGGACTTCCAGGTGCATTGTACGCAGCACATTCAGCACGCAGTCCACAATGCTGGGGTGTGTGGTTCCAATGATCGACTGGCAAGACAAAAAGGACAAGGTGGTTACTTTTGACATGGTGTCCATCTGGCAGGAATGAAAAGCAGCCTTCCAAATAGCTAGACAGCCTGGCTGAACGGGGAGAGTGTCCTGAGCTCATCTCTCAAATGTGGTGGTGTTCCTTCTCTCTCGCTCTCTTTTTGTTAATCCTTACCCAGGGACATGCTTATTGATTTTAGAGAGAGGAGAAGGGGGAAGGAGGGAGAGGTGAGAAACTTCTATAGGTTGCCTCCTGTCTGTGATCTGGCTGGGGATCAAACCCAGAACCTAGGTATGTGCCCTGATGGGGAATCGAATCCACAACCTTTTTGAGTACAGGACAACGCTCCAACCAACCGAGCCACACCGGCCAGGGCTCTCTTCTTACTTTTTACATATTACCTGGTGATCTTATTTACTTTCATGGTTTCAGTTATCACTTCTCTGCTCATGAAATTCAAACTGCCATCCTCACCTCAGGTCTCTCTTTGCAGCTTCAGTCTTTTATTTTCTGCTGTCCAATCTCTACTAGATGTTCTAAACAGTGATTCCTCAATTGAGCCAGGAATCAGAATTACTTGGGGAGCTTACAAAGAAAAAGCATTACTAGAGAGTTGTCAGAGTCTATGGGAGGGAGGCTCAGGATTAAGTATCTTTTAAACAAGTGACCTATCTTCTGTAACCAGCTTGGCCTGCTCCTCAGATGGGCACTTGGGAGCCACTAAAGCTCATCAAGTTTATTGAGTCAAGACCTAACTCTTTCCAAATCAAATAGGTTTTTCCTACTCTCTCCGTGGCACATAACCCACCCTGCTGTCTAAGTTCAAAGCTGGGTGTCATCTTTGACTCCTTTCCTTTTATTGTCCCAAGTCCCATGCATTCTGCCTTCAAAATGTCTGTCTAACCTGGTCACCTGCATTCCCATTGCCACAGTTCAGGCCTTACCATCTCTTTGATCCCTTAATTGTCCCCTTGTTTCCAGCCCACCCTGGAGCTGTTTTGAGAGCTTCTGATAGTTCATCTGGAAACCATTCTTTGAGTAGCTAATTCGCTCCTTACTAGGCAGTGTCTTCCTATAGTCACCATGCCCCAAATCTGACTTTGCTCTCATTCCAGGGCACTGAGAGGAAGGCAAAAGCCAAGAAAAACAGGAGTTCTTCTGAGCACCGGATATCTGGTTTCTTCACTTATGCACTGTCTACAAATGCACCATGATTCCTTCCCTATCAAATTGACTACTTTAATCTTTTCCACAGTCCTTTCATCATCCTTGTGGCTTGTTTCAAACACTTATAAGTCTGCCAGCATCTTTCTGATCCTTAAGTAAACAGGACAAATTACTCTGATGGGAGATGTGAACTCTCTGCCCGGCCTTGGCCTTCCAGAAGTGACGCTGATTGAACAGCTCACGCAGTGGGAGGCTGAGCTCCATTTCTCCAGCCTGCGTGGAGTGCGACTGTGGAAGGCAATTGCAAGATCAGTGTGTGTGAATCAGGACTGCAAGAGCATGCAGCCTGGGCTCACCTGGGCAGTCCTGAGGGTCTGCAAGGCCAGCTGCTGAGCTTTTGGGCATGCAGAGGGCAGCAAAGCTATTAGACCTTTGTACACTTGATTCTGGTACTTGGGATTACCGTGGACCAAAGAATCCAACAGAACCTGCACTTCCTCCTGGGTCTCTTCTGACTTAGACTTTGCCAAAAATTCTGCTATGGATCGTACACCTGAGCAAAGAAGAGAGGAAATGCTAAATTGGAAGGGATTTATAAAAACAATCCTCACTCAAGATTACATAATATTCATCCAGGAAGACGGTGAAGGGATTAAGGAGAAGGAAAAAAAAAAATAAAAAAAAAATATATATATATATAAAACACAGACACAGACAACAGTGTGATGACAGCCAGAGGGAAAGGGGGATGGAGGGGTAGGTGGAGGTGGGCAAAGAAGGGTGAAATGAGGATGGAAAGAGACTTTACTGGGGAGATGGGCACACAATGCAGTGTGCAGGTGATGCTTTATTGAGTTGTACACTTGAAACTTATACCCTGATAAATTCAATTTAAAAAAAGATTAGCTCTGGCCAGTTTGGCTCAGTGATTAAAGCGTTGGTCCATGGACTGAAGGGTCCTAGGTTCAATTCCCGGTCAAGTACCTCAGTTGCAGGTTCAATCCTTGGCCCCCATCAGGGCTCGTACAGGAGTCAATCAATAGATGTGTCTCTCTCATGTCCATGTTTCTCTCTCTCTCTCTCCCTTCCACTCTCTGAAAAGCAATGGAAAAAAATATCCTCCAGTGAGGATTAAAAAAAAATTACATAACATGAAGTAATAGGATTAAGATATATTTAACCAAGTCTGCTCAATCAAAGCAAAATTGAGGCTTAGCCTCATGTTGCACCATTGTCTTGTTCACCTCTGGCTATGTGGCTGGAGGGTTTTGTTTCAGCATAGTAATCTGAGCTTATGAAAAATTTTTTTAAAATCCTCACCCGAGGATATTTTTTCCATTGATTTTAGAGAGAGTGGAAGGGAGGGGGAGAGAGAGAGAGAGAAACATTGACATGAGAGAGACATATCAATTGTTTGTCTCCTGTACGAGCCCTGATGTTGGCCGAGGATTGAACCTGCAACTGAGGTATGCGCCCTTAACCGGGAATCGAACCCAGGACCCTTCGGTCTGCAGGCCTACGCTCTAACCACTAAGCCAAACCGGTCAGGGCTCAAAATGTTTTAAAATTTAAAATGGCTCTGCAAAATGCACAAATAAAAAAAAAAATGCACTTTTGCTTGCTATGTGTTAACTAACACATGCATAGTGCTCAGCAGTTTACAAAATGTTTTCACAGATATTATGTCATTTAATCCCAGAAACTATACTGAGAGGAAGGTGTTAGTCCCATTTTATGGATAAATACATGGAGGCTCAGAAAGTCCACTGGGGACACACAGAAAACCACGATTAAAGAGCAATGACGGAAGTGCTGTGACAAAGGGATGCACAGGGGGTGGCATCTCCTTTACACACCTTAATCAGAGCACTTGATAGATCACACTGAAAATCCTGGATTACTTACCTTTCTCACCGCACTCTACACTCTTTGAGGACAGGGACTGTTTTATTCTTCGCATTCCCAGCACCTTAGCAGATACCTAGCACTCATATTCAATGATTCTATTTCAATTTTATTTCTAGAGTTATTCATAACTCAGTTTCACAAGGGATTTCAGGCAATGGCTCAATAACTCTGTTGAATGGATGCATGAAAAAGGGTATATTTAAAATGGAAAATGTATTTCCAAAACCACAACACAAAGATTTGAGCAGATGATAAATCAGGAAAATCATAAATCTGGGTCTGCGGGTGGCAAGATGGACAGGAGCTAATTGCGTCCACTGGGCAGAGTGCTTCCAGCGAGACCAGTTCCATGACACACTTTCCTGTAGCAGTGCTGGGTGCTGCCACCACTTCATCCAGGCCCCGAGGGAGCCAGGGGAGTTCACCCTTGTCATACACGGTACCCACCATAGCTTTCGCAAATGAGCTCCTTGTACTTCCTGCCAGAGTTTGCAATAACCTGGAGTAGCTTGATGGATTCCTTCTTGTCCTCCTCTGTGATCTTCTCCAGCCCAAGTATTTCCAAGAGTGTTAGGACGCCTCCGACCTCAAGAAATTCTATAAGGTACCGGTTACTGTTCAGAGGGATAGAAGAGTAGAAACAAGACATTTGTCAAGTTCCTTGGCACTAACCTTTCTAAGGGATCTCAAGTTCCCTTCTTCACATACTTTGCCCTCCTATCCAGGAAATACTCATGGGTAAAGTGACACAATGGTTGGGAAATTCTTCCTTTTGCATTCAGCAGGAAATGCAAAACAATGAACAATTCTTGTGTCTGGTTTTCTAGCATCTGTTCTTGTAATAGCACCTCAACTGTCCCTTGGGGAATCACCCCTCCACCGCTCATGAGCCATGTGGTTTTGGTAGGGTAAGCAGGCGACAGGGTGTGTGATCCTTCTGACTGCAATAATTGGTTTGGGGCCAGGGTGTCACCTAAGCTGTTCCACTGAGGCTCAAAATCTGAGACTTTCTTGGGAAACTTTGGGGAAGATATACTCTCTTTTTGGTGTGGTTGAGCTACAAAGATGCATGTCTGGAGCTTCTGAGGATCACAGCATGAGGCCTATGAACACAGAGAACAGGGCTGAGACATGCAGAAAAAGAGAGGGAGAGACCAAGTGCCAATGACATATTTTGAACCCCAGGATCTAGTCAGGCCTGAAATATGGATTTCTACCCTCTGGGCTTTTCGTTTAACAGAGCTAATAAATTCCCCCTTTTCTTGGTCCAGCATGAGTTGATTTTCTGTATTTCACAACTAAGAGGGTGCTGACTAGTAAAGGGTCAATGGAGAACATGGGATGGAGGAGCAACTAGAACAGGACCACAGCTCACACTACCTCCGGGCCTATCCTGGGGGCTACCAGGTACCCAAGGATAACTAGAAGCTCTGGTTCCATGTGGCGCAAATGCCAAGGACACCATGCGCCTAATATGCTACTGAGAACCCAGAATCTCTCCAGAACAGAACTCACCTGTTTACAGCTGATAAGAAGATGCCAATGGACCTTAAAAGCTTCTCCAGGCAAGAGCCAGTCATATAGCTGTATGACAAGTTAAAGAGTGAATTTCAGGGTAGTTTTCCACATAGAAACCAGATCCTGTGTCTGATCACTGGCACCACCAGTGACCCGGATGATCAACAGCTGAATTGAGCCCTTTATCTGAGAAGGGCCACTAGGTTGAAGGAGGAGGAGCAGCACACATGGGGTAGGGGGGTGGGGGTGCTGGCAGGCATGTTCATGGTTTTCCAGGAAGCTCTTCTGGGATAGTTCAGCCACCTTGGCTCTGACTGGCTCTCTGGAGAGCAAGGAGGCTCTGATGAAAAAAGGGTGTGTGGAGAAAGCCGGTGGTCAATTTTCCAAGCCTCTCTCTGCCATGACCATTGCACCCTCGGGTCTCAGCATAGTTCATTACTTTGTGCCTCATTCTTAGACTTCCCTAAAAATAATCAGCTTCATCATTAATTCCCAATTTTGTACTTGCTCAGAGCTTTACACTGGAGGTCACTATCTTTATGAAGAATTGCATGTCTTCTTAATAAGAACAACAGGACATAGTGGAAAAATTAAACTCTGATTTAAAACAACCTCAGTATTTAATGTTATTTTTAATGTGAGCCTTTGCAAAAAGCTTCATTGTAATAAAGCACCCAGAGCACGCATCAGCTCAGATACAAGGTATGAAATCAAACCACAACAGAAGAGGAACCAGTCAACAATTACTAGGCTCATAACACATCACAGGCTCTTAGAACACTTAAGAAATTAGCTGAAATTATTGCAGCTCATGGAGGATGACTGAGAGCTTCCAAGACGGATAAAGGCTAATGTAATGGGTTGGAGGTAATGCTGCTTTGTTGGGGGGGAGGGTGTGTGAGGCAAATTATCTCTGCTGCACCCTGGTTCCCAAGATGCCAATAGAAGTAGAGACAGATTGGCTCATTAGGAAAGGCTCTTTACTGCGAAAACAGTGTTTGCTCTGAAGCCAGGCTCCTCTGCCTGTTGCCGCTACAGCTGGGGGCCTGGCTATCAGCCCACATGGTAGTCTCTCTATTCCTACCTGTCCTCCTCCCTCTGTTCCCCTAAACCCCAGCCCCCACTCCTGCCCCAGTGCATTTTCCTTCCCTCTTTCCTTCAATTACCAGCTAGGCTGACCAACTTTCATCACCTCCTTTTTCCTCTGTCCCAGGCAAGTCCTATGTTCATAGCCACTCACTTATAGATATTCTTGGTTCATTATTTCAGCAATTAGTTTCAGAAGTCTGCCACAATATCAGCAGCAGCTAACAAGTGCAAAGCATTTATTGTGTGCCAGGCACTGTGCTAACTACTTCACTTGCATTGGGCTCATCACACCCTGCAGTGGGTGCTATTAGTATTTCCATTCACTCATGAGGAAACACCTCAGACAGGCTAATGACCTATTCCACGGTCCCAGTGTTAACTGATGGAACCAGGATATGAACCTAGGCAGTCTAACTCAGAGTCTGAGTTCTTATAGTCAGGTCTTCCTGCCTGTAGACAGGTGGAGGGAGGGGGCTATTCAAGCAGATTATCTCCTTATATGGCACTGGAGGTGGAACTGAGGGTCTGCACTGTCCACTGGGTGGGAGACACTGAAGTAGAGTGGATGGCATGTGGGCTTTGGGCCAGACAGACCTGTCAAACCTTATCTCTGCCATTTACTAGTAAATTACTCAACCTTTTAAAGACTCACCTTTCTTATCTATAAAATGGGATAATACCAATTACTTATTAGGCTTGGTGTTAGGCTCAAATGAAATATTTGTACAGTACATAACTCAGCACCTAGAAAAAGACTCAATAAGTGATAACTAATAATTTTGTCATTATAATATACAAATCCTTAGTTTCACTCATATATTCTGGAAGTTCAAGGTCAAAAAAGGGGTTTGAGGCTTATGTGGGATTATGTGTTAGTTATTTGTGTAAAACATAATGATACTATATTGATTTGTTTTCCTTCAAAATCTATGTCACTCAGCTGGTCTATTTTCTCTGTTTTATGACAAGGTCGCAGAAAGGAAATTGTGAACAACTTCAGGTGTAAAAACTGGATATACATCTGTATATTAAAAGTGTGGTTCACTCAGTCGTTCAATAAGCACTCTGATTGGCACTTAGGATATGGAGAAGGATACCGGTAATCCATGCAATAATTAAGAAAACGGATGGGCTGAAAACAGAATTCTTGGAAACACTAACATTTAAGGGATGGGTAGGAAACATCCCAAAACAGTGGCTGAGAAACAGACATGGAAGAAGGTGGAGGAGAAAGGAGCTTAAGAAGGGGCGGTGGTCAGGCAGGGCCGGTGAGTGAAGCACTTGCTTCAGTGTAAAATTTAGAGGGGCACCAGAGAACTCAGTAATCAAATAATATTTCAATGCACTATTAGAAAAATAAAAATTAATATAAAAATCCATGATACAGAAAATATCAACATTTAAATAAAGATCTAATGTGACCCTGCACATGTATGATTCTGCCTCTCACACCCCATGCTGTGGTCAAACGGAAAACATCAAGATAAGGAGGGAAAAGAGTCTCTAGATTGGTGTCAAAGAGGTTGTTGAATGGTAACCGTGGCAAGTTCTGCATAGTGGGGTGGGGGTGGGGGGACAGAAGTCAGACTGCAGTGGGTGGAGGAGAAGAGACAGGTGAGCAAGTGGAGGCAGAGACCAATAACGTTTTCTAGAAGCTTCACCATGAAGTGCAAGATCTGGGGAGAATACAGGTTTGAGACAGGGCTTTAATTAAGGTAGAAGAGACTTGAGCAGATATAAATGCTGATGAAAAAAGGTGGTAATGAGGCAAAGATGGAAACTACAGGAGAGAAAGAATGAAATCTCTAAGGGGATGGGAGGAGATTCAAGTGCAATACCAATAGAGCGTTAGCTCTAGACAGAAGGAATACTGACTTCAACTCTGATGGGCATGAAAGAGGTTAGGAGTGAGAATGAGGATATGTTTACAGGTTGGGAAGACAGGAAGTTGAGGGAGTCTTTGACTGTAGGGATGATTTAAAAAAAAACCTTTATTGATTTTGGAGAGAGGAAAGGAGAGGGAGAGAGATAGAGAACCATCAATGATAAGAGAGTCATTGACTGGCTGCCTCTTGCATGCCCCCCACTGGGGATTGAGTCCGCAACTTGGGTATGTGCCCTGACCAGGAACTGAACCTCGATCTCCTGGATCATAGGCCGATGCTCAACTGCTGAGCCATGGCTGGCCAGGCTAGGAATGATATTTTGACCACCGGATGTCCTGGTCTAAAATCTTAGAATGGAGAGAAGAGCTCCCTCAGTAATTTCTCCTCTTTTTTCTTTTGAAGATGGCCTATTTTTTTTTCTTTTCTGTTCGGGAAAGGATACGTGAGTCTAAGACAGGTGGTCAAGCGTACTAGGAACAAGCTGGCTCCCTGGGAAAACTCCTGCTCCAGTTCGGGGGCAGTCTTGCCTTGGTTGGCTTCAATGAAAGTGTTGAGGATGTGATTCCTTGCGACTTTTCCAGCATTGTCCCAGTCCTGTAAAAAACTCAAGAGCCGGCTAATTGCTGCCTGCTCCTTTATAGAAGTCATGATCAGTCAGTCCTGAAGTTGGCTACAGAGGGAAGGAAACAGACAGGTTACCAAAGTGCTTAGAACCATGCAAGTCCTATAGGCTGCTCTATAGGTTTTGCTTTTCAGGCAATCACCTGGAAGCAGGTGAGCCTTTGTCACCCACACAGATATAGTGACATTCAAAATACCTCTACAACTGGTCACCTGCTACTCGAACAGGGAAGACCTAGTTGTATTGTAATGAAATGAAGAATATCAAGGTAGTAAATGCCTGCCTCAACTTTAAGGGTTAAAATTTTAGCTTTTTGGTGTCTCTGCCAGTGCCACAGGCTCCAGCTGAGATGAAGGTGCTCGCTAACAACATGGGCCTCTCTCATCTCTAACTTCACATAGGGTCAGAGATGTGCGGACTTTCGAGACCTGTTCCCCTCTTATGCCAATCAATCAGTTAAGGTACTCCTTAACCTTGTACCTTGGGCTTTTATACTAACTCTCTTAACAACAACTTAAAAGAAAAATCCTCACCCAGCCGGGCGTAGTTCAGTGGTTGAGCATTGACCTAGGATCCAGGAGATCATGGTTCAATTCCTGGTCAAGGCACACGCCTGGGTTGTGGGCTCAATTTCCAGTCAGGGGTGTGCAGGAGGCAGCCAATCAATGATGACTCTCTCATCGTTGATGTTTCTATCTTTCTCTCTCCCTCTCTCTCTCTCCTTTCTGAAACCAATAGATATATTTAAAAAAATCCTCACCTGAGGATGTTTTTATTTTAACTTAATTTCCAAAACATCCTCATCCAAGGACATGCTTAGAGAGGAAGGGAGAAAGAGGAACATCAATCGGTTGCCTTCTGTATGTGCCCTGACCAGGAATCGAACCCACAACCTTTCCAACCAACTGAGCCACCCAGCCAGTCTTGAAAACAACTTTTAAAAAAAGTTAGTGGGAAGAAAAAGTTCCCATTCCATAGTTGGATTAATGGGCTGTGGTTTGTAGGAGCCTGTGTCCTTGGGAGAATGTTTTCAGTGGGGGGAGGGAAGGTTTAAAATAAACCCGTTTTCCAAAAATAGTTGTGATTGAAAGTGTTATTATCCATAACAAATGTTAGTGCTGATGGGAGAGAGGCATGTGTGATTCTTTTGTCTAACAGACAAGTGAAAGTCATATTTCACATTACCATGGGGTTTTCTGTGATTTACAGAATATTTGTGAAACATTACTTGCAGTGGCCATGATTGATATGGAGAGAACAGCTTGTGTGTAGGGGAGATGTGTATTTCACGAAGACGGTTCAACATGAAATTTACAGTCTCATAAAGTGCTTCTACATCTTTGCCAGAGATCTAGTTAAAAGGACTTTACAGTCTGAAACATCCTAAAATTGATTCTAAATTAACGTTTCCTCACATGTATTTGAGATATTGATGGGGCCCAGCTATCAGAATTTTATTAGGAAGCAATAACCTGAAGCATGCTGAGACAGACAGACATACACACCAACCTCCTTACTCCCCAGAGGACACGGGATATGTGTTCCCAGGAAGGGTGTCACGTAGCCTCTGGGACAGAGTCAACCACGAAATCCTGTCAGCCTAAACAGCCAGATGAATAGCTGTGGATCATCTAAACACAAAAATGACCGAAACCCTTCATGGGATCATTCATCAATCACTGTGAATAACATCACAACCCTATGCCTGAGAATAACTTTGAAGAGTCCGTGGCCATCTTCAACAGCCAAACTGGCCTCAAGAAAGTGGGGATAAGTGGTTGTTCTGGACCCCAGGGAGGAGGGGTTGAAACACCACCATTAGCTTAATCAGGCAGGAAAGCACCCGGTGCCCATACCCTGCTGTGGATGGACCCATTCTAGGGTCAAAACTCAAAGTGCTATTGGAGATGTACCCAGCAATTCTAGGTACAGAATTCAAGGGCAGGAAACTTTCAGCTAGACATTCCAGATTGTGGCCACCTGAGGTTCCCTTGGATCTCAGATTCCATTTTCTTTTTTTTTAAATAGAAAAGAAAACCAACAAATGGCAGCATTGAAGGTGACAGTAATATAGCTCTAAATCAGTGAATATGTGGTGAAGACGCATTACATGGCATCGTGCAAGGTGCTGTGGGAGATGCTGAGATGAAGACGGCGGTGCCATGGCCCCCGAGGAACTCCAGATCTTGTGTAGAGTGAAGAACATCAGATCTGACATCAGACCAGGCTAAAGGTCCAGCTCCCCACTTGTTATTGTAAAACATCAATAATAACTGCCTTATCCCTCGCCATCCTCCAGTCTCACTCCAGAGGCAACCACTTTAGACTCTTCTGGCTATTTCTTCTGGTGTTTACCTCTATATTCCCAAGTAATGAGTTTATACTATTTGGTATGGGCTGAATTGTGTCCCCCTCGCCCCCTAACCCTTAGTACCTCAGAATGTGACGGTATTTGGAGATAGGGTCTTTAAAGAGGTAATAAAGTTAAAATGAGGTCATTAGGGTCGACCCTAATCCAATATAATTTGTGTCCTTATAAAAGATTAGGGCACAGACACATAAAGAAGGAAGACCATATGAAGACAATAGAAGTCAGCCATCTACAAGCCAAAGAGGCCACAGAAGCAGCCAACCCTGTAACTTGTGACCTCAAAGTGTTATCAGAGTCTCCAGAACTGTCAGACAATAAGTCTCTGTTGTTTAAGCTGCCCAGTCTGTGATACTTTGTTATGGGAGCTCTAGCAAACTAGCACATTAATACTATCAATTTTAGACAATATGAATATTCTGGCAGTTGAGGAGCTAGCTCTCTTGTACACTCTAACCCCTAATTTTATCCCCTTATCCTCACGATAGTATAGTTTCCCACAATTTATAGTTAAATCAACAGTGTTTATGTTGGCCAAGTAAATAAACATTGTGTACTCAAGCTGTAACCTATTACATTTTCTTTCTCTTATAAATTGGTTTTACCTGGAGTTAATTTTCCCCCCAATTGTTTAATTTTCTGTGTACCTAGAGCTATTTTCTTCCAAATGTTCCAAACATGTAGCAGTGGTTTTTCCAAATGTTCAGCCTAACTGATCAGTTCCATCTTTTCCCTGGAGACCTCTGCCCACTGTCCTTTGCTCCTCTGGATGGTTGCTTGCTAAGCCAACCATGATGGTGCACAAATGTCCTGGGATTTCCTTTTGCCAGTTTTCTCTGTTGATCACCCTATTTCTTGGATTTACCTCCTTCTCCTCCTCCTTGGTTTATGCTTTTTGTTGAAGCACATTCTCCAGTAGCTTTCTTAGAAAGGAAAATTATTTTCGTGTGTGTCCTTGGAAGTCTAAAAATCCTTTTGACCTCATTTTAGATTGGTTGGGTGTGTAATTTCACGTTAGAAATAAGCTTCCTTGGAATTGAGCCTCCCAGTATTGCTGTTGAGAAGTCTGACTTCATTGACTCCTTTACCTTTGTCTGTGGCTTGTTTTATTCACTCTTGATGTCTTTTTTTTTTTTTTAATCCTTACCCGAGGATATTTTTTCCATTGCTTTTCAGAGAGAGTGAAAGGGAGGGAGAGAGAGAGATCAATGTGAGACACATCGATTGGTTGCCTCCTGCATGCACCCCAACTGGGGACGGAGCCTGCAATGGAGGTACGTGCCTTGGCTGGAATCGAACCCAGGACCATTCAGTCCAGGGGCCGACGGTCTAACTACTGAGCAAAACTGGCCAGGGTATTTATTTATTTATACTTATGTATTTAAAGATATGTCTTTATTGATTTCAGACAGAGGAAGGGAGAGGGAGAGAGAGAGATAGAAACATCAGTGATGAGAGAGAGTCACTGATCAGCTGCCTCCTGCACGCCCTCCACTGGGCATTGAGCCCATAACCTGGGCCTGTGCCCTGACTTGAAATCGAACCTCCATCTCCTGGATCACAGGTTGATGCTCAACTGCTGAGCCACGCCTGGCTAGGCTATTATTTATTTTTATCTCAATTGTTCTTCAAAGCAGATTTGATGAGAATTGGGAAAAAAAATCCATTGAATACAATTTTAAAAAGAATTAAAAAGAACACTAGGAAAAGGAGAGAAATATGTCAATTTCAAGAGCCAGTTGCTGGGATAAATTCTGTATCTAAGATTCTTCTTGACTACCAAAATAAAAGAGGAAATATCATGGTGAAGGGAAGAGAGAATGATGGCAGGGAGAAGAAACTAATATTTTTTTGAGTGTTCATAAAGAACTAGTCACATACCATAATATACATTATATATGTTATTTGTTTAATCCTCTAAAGACCCCAAGGAGGTAGTTATTATTATTCACAATTTTCAAGTTTAAAAAGGTTTGCTCATTTATTGAAGGCCTCACAGCCAAAAAAGGGGTGGAAATAAACTGAACTCAGATTTGTGTATAAGAGTCCAGGTTCTCTCCATTTAATCAAAAGCACTAATTCTGCTCTCCCCTATGCTCCAAAATGTCACCAATAACATCTTATTGTCAAATTCGATGGCTAGCTTGCAGTCCCATGTTCTTGATCTCTCATGGATTTGGGTGACTCTCTTTTCAGAACTCCTTTCCTGACTCTACTCTTTCTTGGTTCTACCCTTTACTCTGGATCCTCTTTAGACTCCTTTGCAAGACCTTTTCCTGTTCTCGGTTTTCTTCGTGTGCTTTGTAATTTCCTGGGTGATTTCCTTCACTCCCATCACTTCAAGTTACATCTGTAGGCTTTATGACTCCCAAATCCGTATCTCATTGAGCCTGGGACTCCCTCCTGAGGTCCGGATCCCTGCATCTAAATGACTAGTGGATGTCTCCATTGGTATGTTTCACACACTCTTCCATCAAGCCCTCACACCTGCTCCTCCCCCTATGTTGGTCCTATTTCAGTGACTGGGTTACCCCTCTCCTGGTCACGTAAGAGCTATATCCCTCACCCTGGCCCTCCTTATCTGAACTGTTGCCAGGTTCTGCCAATTATACCTCCTAAATCTCCCCCAGATCAGTCTATTTATCTTCATCTCCACGGCCACTATTTTCATTTACCTCCTTGCCCATCCCTCACATGAATTACTGCAACAGTCTCCTAACTGATTGTCAGGCTCACCCCACCCTAATCTCCACAGTGATGTGAGAGTTAAAAATGTAAATCTAACAAATTTCCCTGTTTGAAACTCTTCAGTTGTTCCCCATATTACCCTCAAGATAAAGTTTCAAACATTTCAGCCCAAAGAAACTTCATCTAAATTCTGTCACAACTGAAAACTGACTCCCCCACCTCCACCCCGTGTCAATGTTTGCAGTGGGAATTAAGAGGAGACTGCCAGCTTTCCCACGTCACAAACCATCCTCTAAATCCCCCATACTATTTCTAAATCATTTCTTTTCCTCTGAGGTCAGGCCTCCTATCCTTCCCCCTCTACCTGTCTCATTGTTGATTTATTGGCCACTTCCCAATACTCATAGATGACTTCCATTCCTAAGTCTTCCTGTTTACCCAAGACCTGATAGGCAATTTGAACATCAACATGTTCCAGCTTCATATTTTGGGTGGCTAGCATCCTCCCTGGCATATAATGGGTGCACAAAAACTGTTATTTAAACTGACATCCAACACACTATGCTTATAATGAGCACTTTGATTTTCTAACTTCACACAGTAATTAATTAAACAGATGTCCTGGGTGCTGGTAGACTTGCAGGATAAAGTCTAAACTCCATGCGGCACACATGGCTCTCCAGAGCTTGGCCCCAGGCTAACCTCATCCTGTCACTTCCACATTACAACAGACATCCCCTTCTCAACTCCCCAGAACGGTCAGCTGCTGCTCTGCCATCAGGAGTGGCCAACCTCCTTTTTAAAAACCCTTTGGTAATTCTCCAAGACCAGGGGTGCTGGGTTCTGTGACCTCACCTATGCCACCTCTTCCCCTGCTGTGCTATAAATCTTAACCATCCCTCCCATTAGAGTGTACTCAAGGGCAGGTGTTGGTCTTCCCTATCTCTATGTGCTCAGGACCTGGCACAATGCCCGAGACAAAATAGATGTTTAATAAATGCTCGCTGGGTGAGTGAGAGAAGAAACTAGCCAGCTCCTGTTTAGATGGTTATATCTGAATGTTCATGATATGTAGGTCCATAAAATGACCAACTTCCCAAAGCTGCCATGTGCAGAGCGGCAGAATCTCCATCCGAGAAGGCCAGTGCAGTCTATGAGGCATTTTACTGCTATGACAGGAAATAGCAATGTCAGCAGTGGTGTCATCTTTGGACACTAAGGACAGGGATTCAGTGCCATGAACGGTCAGTTAAATTGTAATTGGAGTGAACTGTTCCTCTGCAAACCATAATGTTCTTTAGCTGCAGCCAAATGGCATTCAAGAAGGGGAGAAAATTTTTTGAAATGTCAAAGAAATTATTTCCAATTTGGTGCTCACAACCAGAGACTCTAATGATCAGTGGAAATGAGAAGTAAACAAATTAGCACTAATGGAAAATGGCTTTTGGAAAAGAGGATTTAATTTATAGTCAACTGGTCATGGCATGCAGCATGCAGTAAAAGTCAGCCTCACCAGCTTGATCATAAGAGCTGGAGCACACGCGGAATGCCAGAGAAAAATATATGTATGCCATCATGCTTATTGGAATCTCTCCGTAAGTGGCAGCCAATTAAAATAGTCATTATTTTACCTTGGAGAGAAAATGGTCTGAATAATCAAAGCACATGAAATTAAAATCCGGATTAGGAACCTTGGTCCAAATTGGTTTGTTTGTGGCCTTATGACCTTGGCAAGGTCTTCTGCAAGGACGGCAAATCTACTTTGTCTTCAGCCCAGAGTGGACTCTGTTTTTAATTTCCTTTCCATCTTCAGAGGTGATTAATAAATCTGGACTCATCTATAAATCATTTCTATAGCAGCCAAATGGTTCTTCTTCATGCAGGGAAACTAAAATTACAAAATCTCAAAACCTCAGCTCTTCTACTAAGCCAAAGGTCCTTAGCAATGAGAGAGAAGAGGTATTATAAAATCGAAAGGTCACTAGGTCTTGTTTCTAAAAAAAATTTCTTTTCCTCCCCCTAAATTAAAAGACATGTTTCTAAAAGCAAGAAGCCTCCAGGGCATGGGCTGCCAGCCTGGCTCACTGTCCTCAGATGGCCTTGGAGACAACAAGGCAGTCACTGTGGGTTATTCCTGCAAGTTCCACCTGCATAATGGGATAGAGGCCTCCTCCTTGGCTCCCATCCCAACTCCTCACTCAGCTCCCCATTCAGAGAGAAAGAGAGGGAAGGAGGCAAGGAGACAGAGAAAGAAACATTCTCCTTCCAAACTTCAGGCCAAGCTATGGAGGATGGCCTGGTCCTTATTTCCACCTCAGGGCAAATGTGCTACAATTTGTCACTTCTTTCTCATAGACTCCTAGCTTCTGCTCCTCACTCATACCCTCTTCACAGACCCCTCTTGCTACCCATCACTTCCCTACAGACCATCTTCCCCATTTCTTCCCCACAGTTGGACCATCTTTCCCCCATCTTCTTCCTGCAAAACCCTCTGCCTTCATCCTCTCCCCAGACCTACCCTTTTCCCACAGACCCCACTTTTCCTCTCAAGTCTCACTTCTGCCCCCAACTCCACACCACAGATCTGCCCTCATGCACCCCCCCACAAAATGTAACTAAGTCAACCATAACTGCTCTACCCACATTCTCCTCACCCTTTCATTGTTCTATGTTTCGTCTTCCAGACCTGTTTTCCTACCTTTCCTTCCCTTCCCAACCTTCCTACTCTGCCCTTGAAAGCCTTTGTCCTGATCAGGGAAGTCTCCTCCATCCTGAGCCTCTCCGCAGTCTCTCTGCCGACCTCCAGCCTGCCCCGAAATCTGCCTCTATCCCAGGGCACCACTTCTGCACAGCCCTCCCTGGTGGAGGCCGCTTATACGCTTAAACCCCAAGGACGTCAGGGTTGGGAGTGGGGCTAGTGTCTCCTCACCAAAGCCTAACCCAGTTCCTTATTCCACTACCTTCTTTAAAAACTTTTGCTACTTTGAGGGTCATGCCATTCAGCTGTACTGACCTTTACCCCTCCTCACGTTGTCATCTACAGATTCCAGAACAACCACTTTATTCATCAAGGACTTTGGTACCTAGTTCACAAGCATCCTCTTCCCTTTCCCTCAAGTCCTGCCATCATTCAGGAGGATTTCACTGGCCATGTCTACACCTTGAATGTCTTCTGTACTCCACTCCACTTCAGCCACACACTTCCGTGGCCAAACCCTGGACCTTGTCATCACCTGGAACTAATGAAACGTCATCACTCCACTTTCTGATCATAGCTCTCTCATTCAGCTACTTCTAAGATATGGGTTCTCTAACTTCATTGGGACCCCAGTCCATAACATTTTTACACTCTTCTACGCAACTTAGGTTCTAAGGTCCATCATCTCAACCTTTTGCCAGGATTCTCAACTTCCTTGCTCTTTGTCCTTCCATTTCACCCACCTGATGAAACCCAAACCTGGCTCAATTCAGCTAACCTCTCTGCACCCACCACTAAATGGTTGAATATTGTTGGGGAAAGATACATATCACACAACTATGCAGACCACTGCTGCTACAAATTAATGGTCACCCACCTCAATTTGCCTCATAACTGCCCAGAAATTTGTACGCTACCTTGGTGATCTTGTTCCCATTCTCCCCTGCCGCTATTTCAATCTCCCTCTGCTCTTCTGAAACCCTGTACACCATTTCCAACCTTCCTCTCACTGGCTGATATCGGGTTCTTATTTCACAGAGAAAACAGAAACCATCAAAGAAGAATTCTCTCAACTTCTTGCCACCAAATTTCCTAATGTACTAACCTCACATGCTTCCTTTTTGTTACAATGCAAATATCGTCCCACCTTTCTAAGTGAGTTTCTCCACCAGTGCTTTGGATTCTCTATAGTCTTTTTCCAGGGTTGCTACTTTCTCAGTTAACTCTTTTTCTCTATAATTTTATCTTTTTCCTTTTGCTGGATCCATGCCTGTCTCCTTCTAGCTATTGCCATCTTTGTTCTAAATAGCCAACCTGTCTTTAAAGTGTATTGTACATGCAGTCTTCCCTTCCTCACTTTTCCACCTACTTCTCAACTCACTGTAATTTGACCTCTGCTTCCAGCACTCCACTGAAACTGCATTTGCAAAAGTCACCAACAACTTCCTTGTTTCTAAATCCAGCGGATTTTTTTCAAGCCTTATTTTATTTGATTAGTCATCAGCCTTCAACACTTTCTTCCCTTGGCTTCTGGAATACCACAGTCTACTACAAATTATCTTACCATTCTGGACACTTCGTCTCAATTACCTTTGCAGATTCATTTTCCTTTGCCAGACCCTCAGACTTGAGTGTTTCTCAGCGATCTGTCCTCAACCCTCTTCTCTTCTTATTCTACACATACTCTCTGGGCCAGCCCAACAAATCAATCCACTGGAGTGGCTGCCATCTGTAAGGCACTACAGACTACCACATTTCTATTTCCAGTTTAGACTTACAAACTCCAGTCAGGCATACTTAACTGCCTCCTGGACATCTCTGCTTGGATGACCCACTGGTACCTCAAATTTCCCCAGGCCCAGAACCTACCCTCTCCTAAAAACCCTGTTTCCTCTCCTTTCTGCTTGCCCAAGCCAGGAATTTAGAAGTCATCCTTCTTTTCTCCTACTTGCCCCACCAGGTTCCAAGTCCAGTTCTTTTTAGCTCTTAAGTGTCTAAGGAACCCATCCCCTCCTCTTCATTCCTGTTACCTTTCTATGCTTTAGGACATTGCAACTTGCCCCCATTACTGAAACAACTTCCTAACTGGTCTCCCTTCTCTCAATCTCCAATCCATTCTCTGCATTGACCTTTCTAAAACACAAATACAATTGTTACTCCTTTGCTAGCGCCCTGCAATGACTACCCACTGTCCTCAGGATAAAATCATTGGAAAATTTTTACCAGCAGTAAGATTTACCTATAAATTCAAAGCTGAGCTTAGCATCAAAGACCCTCAGGGACCTGAGCCTGTTCTTCCAAGGTTACTTTTACATTCGGACCTCCTCTGGCCAGAAGAGGCTCGTAATGTATAGCACTCCTCAGTTTCCCCTTTTTGAGCTTCTGCAAAGGGTCCTTTCTCCTCCATATCTCCACAGGTCTTCTAAGGTCCACTTTAGGAGCCATCCCCACTGCCATAAATGTCCCTTCAACACTTTCTGAGTTCACACAGAATCAGAGTTGGTTCAGAATGGTTTTTCTCCTCTTTTTAAGACTTGTAGAAGTCTGGGTCAAAAGCTTAATCCTCACTAGAGCCCACCTACATAACAGGTGCTCAGTAAATATTTGTCAAATGCATGCATAAATGCAAGAAAATTGTATTCCTTAGTCCGTTTGTGTCCCCAGCGAACAGAGCATTCTCTAGTCTTCCCCTGCAGTTCTCCCCACTGCCTCCTACCCGCCCCATCAGTCAGAAGAGGCCTCGCTCCACTGGGTGGAGGATGGGCCAGCACGCGCCCCGAGGCCGTTTTGTACGGTTTTCTACCTTCGGTTTTCGGGGCTGCGACTGTACGGGATGGCAGAGGTAGCTAGACGCTGTAAATCAAAGGGCACTATCGTCCACCCTGTAGGATAACACGCGGTTGAGAACCAAGACCCTCTCCACTGCCAGGACACCACAACTCTCACAAACCCTCTTACCTACACAGGAGGGTGGGGACTCTTTCTGACCGGCGTCCCGGCTGACCAATAGCTGACCCATATTAAGCAAGTCAGCCAATGGCTGAGGGCCAGGGATAGAGTGGGGCGGGGCATGGTTGCTAGAGCCGAGCTAGTAGGGTGAGGCGAGAGGCTCCGAGACTCCGTGGTTGCTAGGGTGGGAGGTCACAGAGCGCGCCCGGGGATTGGGCAGCGTCGGGGAGGTGGGTGGTGATTGGGCGGTGTCCAGGAGGCGCGCGGGTGAGGCGCGAGCGCGCGAGCAGGAGTTCCGGCGGGAGGCCCGTGCTGAGGGACGGCACCTTCACCATGCCCTCGGCTGAGCTAGACTACACCATCGAGATCCCGGATCAGCCCTGCCGGAGCCGGGGTATGGAACGAGGGTTGGGTCCAGTAATGGGGAGGTGACCTAACGAGTCTGTGGGTTGCGAGCGCAGATGTGGCTCCGCCCCTTCGCGGCTCCGCCCTCTCGCGGTCAGCCCCCTCGCAGGGTCGCGCTCGCCTCAGACGTCGTCTGGCCCAGAGAGCCCCGCCCCCTCGTCCACCCCTCCCCCGAGTGCTCAACCCGTCCGATCCCCTTCCCCCTTTCCTTCGTCCTCTGCTCTATTAGGCCCCCCCTTTTTTCTTTCTTTTTTCTTTCTTTTTTCTTTCTTTTTTCTTTCTTTTTTCTTCTCAATCGGAGTTTTCAAGGCCATGCCCTAGCTTTTCTCCCGGTAGCTGAAGGCTGGGGAGGGACCCTCCTGATTCCTTTGTTTGGGGTCGTAGCCTCCCTTCGGCCGTTAAGAGTAGGGATCCCACTCACTATTTTCCCCCGGTCTTCGCAGAAGCCCGGGACGCAGAACCCTTATCCTCCGCTCCTCTCCACTCTCCATAGCTGTGGTTAACAGAGCAGCCCCTGTCCCCTGCGGTCAGGTAGAAGCTTCACATCCCGACTCCTCCCTTTAGTAGCTGGATGACCTTTGGCAGGCAACCCCCTCTGAACTTCAGTTTCCTTTTCTGCAAAATGGGGATATCGATATTAGCCTCCCTTACAGTGATGATGTTTGTCCAACTGAGATTGTTTGTGTTAAGAACCCAGCATAGTGCCTGGAATGGAGTGAGTTTAGTGATTAGCATTATTTCCCTCCCTACAGTCATATCATTAAAGAAAGGTGTGTGGGAGGCACCCTAAAATTAGTAGCCTGTAGAGCAGGCCTGGGTCCCTGGCAGTGTGAGTAGGATTGGGGGCCCAGAGAATGGAAAGTTGGGCCCTGACTGGGAATTATGGTAGAGGAGCCTTAAGTATATGTCAGCCTAAGCCCAGCATATCTCTCCCCTGCATTACTACACATCGCCTTCACACCTTCAGTCTCACGGCCAGGAGCTCAGCCTCATATACAAAGGTTTGATCTTATCATTGCTCTGTGTAAAACCCTTCAGTGGCTCCTTATTGCCCTCAGGATAAATCAAGTCCAGATTCCTTAACATGGCATTCAAAGTCCTTTGTAATTTATCAGCCCCTGCTTGCCTCTTTGGTCACTGTGTCCTTCCACTGTTCAATTTGAATTTTATGTTCTGACAACCGAACTGCTTGTGATTCTTCACACATTCTTGCTTCTCTGCCTTTGCTCCTGCTGTTTCCTCTGCCTGGAATGCCCTTTCCCCTCTGCTGCATCACACTGCCCCCTTGCTTGTCTGGCTCATCATTTAAGACTTAGCTGAGATGTTGCTTCCTTCAGGAGAGCCTTCCTAGACCCCTCCCATAGCATCTTGTGTTCCTTGGTTGGAGTTTAAGAGAGGAGGGCAGCCCCTGGGCTCCCACAGAACAGATGGCTCTAGATCAGCTATATTTCCCTAGAGCTGGGCTCAGGAAAACCTGATCTGTTGGCTTAGGGTTCTTGTGCTAATAGGTGTAAAAGTGCTTTTGGAAAGTTTTGGCATCAGGAGGAGATGAAGCCAGTTAATATTCTTGTCCTTGGAGAGCCTTCAGCTGCAAAGGGTTGAAGCTGCCTTCTGCATAGCCAGGAAGGCAGAAGTTCTCTCTTAGCCCAGATGGGCGGCCTGGCAAGCTGTTGAACCTCTCCTAGCCTCAGGTTTCTCCACTGTAAAATGGGAATAATAATAATGCCTACTCCAGGTATTGTGAGAGTTAACAAGATAGTGACTAGATGTGTGTGCCTGGCACACTGTTGGTGTATTTTCTCTGCTTGTGGCTCCCCTCCCTGCTTGAGGAGACTGGGCCCTAGATTTGGAAGAAATCTCAGGCGCCATTTTGTTCTGTATCCTTCTACTGGCCTGAGGGCATTCTGTTGCTACCAGATCCTTCCCTGACAGGATGCTTCTTCCCAAGCATCCTGGCCTGTTGTAGGCAACTGGGATTGTTAGAAAGTACTTCCCTTGAGCCATAGGCTTTCCTGTCATTTCCTCTTCCAGTTCAGCATTTTCTGTGTCCTGGCCATGTGTTAGTTCCTGGTGCTTCAGAAGTGACTCATACACAGGCTCTCTTTAGGAAGCTGTGGTTTTGGGAAGGGGTGAGATTTATAAGTCGCTGGTTTTATAATGATGTGGTAACTGGAAGGCTTGAGGGTCCTGTTGGGTACAACAGTAATCTCTTTTCCTCTCTCAAGAAGACAGCTTCATGCCTTCCTCAAATCTCTTTTTCTCCAAGAGAAATACCTCCAGGGCCTTCAGCTGTCCCTACTCTGATGTAATTCTAATAACCTCCTTCTGATTGCTCCTCTAGACTGGCTTTATAGTTCATCATACTTTTCCCTCAAAGTGTGTACCCCAGGGCTGAGCTGGAGGTTGTAGACCCTTCAGAAGGAGGTAACAGCGCTGTGATCCCCCATATCCATTTGCTTCCCATCTTCAGAGAGCTCCCATCCAGGCTGACATGGCTTCACACAGTGACGGTCTTTGGGGACTCCGGAGATTGTCCTTCAAATTTTGCATTTACTGTTTAATGGTGAAGTATGTAGGACAGTCATATTTGGTTTCTGGAATTGCTTCCCCCCATATTTGAACATCAAAACCACAGAGCCCAGCACTGCTGTGAGTTGACAGAGAGGTGAGCAGCTGCTGATGGCACATTAGTTAGCTGGAAGGCAGCTGCAGATCTGGGGTCATTCAGAGCCCAGGCTGGGCAGGCCAGCTCAGGACCCCTCTCCTGGGAATCCATGGAGATTCCTCTCCTGGGATTCCTCTCCTGGGAATCCACCACCACTATCCATGGCTGCTCATTCCAAGGGTAGTCTGTCTGGTCATTTGCTGAAGCTGTTTACTTGAACTGGAATCTCTCCCAACCTACCCACTCTTCTTCTCTGACCAGTGATCCCCTCTCCCTCCTAATACCCTGCTCCCATCTCATTTCTGTGGGGAAATACCTTGTTCCAGGTTATCCCAGATTTCAACTTAGGAGCCTCACTCCTAAACTTTTGCATGCAGATATCAGTTGCCATTAGGAAGTGTTGCTTGAATATAGTTCCATTTCTAGGAAACAAGGACATGCACAAAGAAAGAGGTGTCCATTAAAGTATTTTGATAACAGCAAAAAATTGCAAAAAACATCATGTCTAATAATGGGAGATTGGTCACCATAAATTATGAAATATTCTATAGCTGCTCTGCAGCCACTAAGAAGAATGGTGTAGAAATATATAAACTGACAGGGAGAGATGTTCACAATATATTGCTAAATCGAAGAAAGCAGATTACAAAACAGTATGATTCCAATTTTATTAGATATTCATTTTCTCCTTTTCTACAGTGAGCGTGCATTCCTCGTGAAGTAATAATAATTACTTCGATTTATTGAACTCTTTCTTTATGCCAGGTACCATGCTAAGCCCTTTATAGTCATTATCTTATTTAATCCTTAGTATTATTATCCCCATTTCACAGATAAGGAAATTAAAGCTTAGACAACGTACTCAAGATCTGTTTCCTAGTTATTAGTGGTAGAGTAGGAGATTTGAACCCAGTTATGGTTTTGTACAATATGTACTCTTAGGTACTCTGCTACTCTCCTATGCTGTTATTTCAAAAAGTAAAAAACAAAAGTAAATTTAAAATAAAGTAATTTGGTTTAAATATAGGAACTGTGAGACTCTAGAAAATATTTCTGGGTGTAAGAGGAATTTGGGTATCCTTTTATTCTTCACGTTTTAAAAAGAAAACATAGGCTCTTTGTATTTTGCCACAGACTCTGAGCCTTGTCAGCCTTTTCCTTTGTTGTTGCCTTGTGCCCCTGGGCTGTATGCAATCTAATCTACGCTTCAGTTTTATGACTTGAACTGGTGTACAATATATGTATCTGTAATTCTTGTATTATTGGTGTCAGTATTGTTTTGTTGAGAAATTCTAGAGGACAGGGAGCCTGTGAGATTAAATTGTTCTGTGGAGTGCTCAGAAAGTGCCAGGGTTGAACGGAATACTCCTGCCTCCCTCAGGGGCTGCTGGGCAGCCAGCATGAGCTCTGTGACTTCTCACTGCTTTGGCTCTGTGGAACAGACTCTCCCCATTTAAAGAAATAACATTTTAATTCTTATTGCAAAAGTGATGCATATTGATTTTAGGAAATGGGTAAAAATAATCATGAAAAAATAATTGCCTCTAATCCCAGAAATAATTGCTATTAATATTTGATGTGTTTTTTCTATGCATATATGTTTGTGTGTGTATGTATGCATATATATACCTATAAATATATATGTATTCTGTTCATACTGCTTTTCAGCTTGCTTTTTCACTTAATGTATTACTGTTATTTTATTTTTAATAATAGCATTGTTGAGATATAGTTCATATACCATAAAATTTACCCTTTAAAATGTACAATTCATTGGTTTTTATTATATTCACAGAATTGTGAAACCATCACCACTGTCTAATTCTCGAATATTTTCACCACCTCAACATGAAACCGTGTACCCATTAGTACTCCCCATTCCCACCTCCATTCAACTCCTGGCAACCACTGATCTACTTTTGGTCTATGGATTGGCCTATTCTGGACATTTTATATAAATGGAATCATACAATATATGGTCTTGTGGCTAGCTTCTTTCACTTAGCATATGTTTTCAAGGTTCATCCATGTTGTAGCGTGTATCAGTACTTCATTCCTTTTATGACCAATAGTATTACATTGTATGGCAATATCACATTTTGTTCATCCATTTACAGGTGATGGGCTTTGAATCGCTTCTCTTTTTGGCTATGATGTTATGAACATTTGTGTGCAGGTATTTTTGTGGACACACGTTTTCACTTCTCTTGGGGATGTATACCTAGGAGTAGAAGTGCTAGGTCATATGGTAACTATGTTTAATTTTTTTGAGAAACTGCCAAACTTTTTCAAAGTGGCTGTACCTTTTTCCTGTATATGGAGGT